TCGGGAGCGCGCTTGTCTGTGGCTGAACAGACAGACAGACAGACAGACAGACAGACAGACAGACAGACAGACAGGCAGAAAGATAGACAGACAGACAGACAGACACTACTCTTTTATATTAGGTTGTTCAGTTATAAATGCGCGTTTTTAAGATAACAACTCTTTATTTTAAAACCAACAGTTTAACAGCTCAATCAACAATATATTCACCATTTGTTAACAATATTTGTTTCCATCTTCCATGCAAAGAATAAATTCCCTCCGCCTAAAAATTGGCTTGTTTTGAGGCAAAGAAGTCGGCTATCCATTTTTCGACCTCTTGAACTTCTTTGAACCTGTTTCCAGCCCAATGGTTTCGCATTGAGCGAAATAAATGGTAATCCGAAGAAGAAATATCTGGAGAATATGGCGGATGCGGGAGCGTTTCCCAGCCCAACTCTTCGAGTTTTTCCTGAACAATCTTTGCAACGTGTGGACGGGCGTTATCTTGAATGAACTTTATGTTTGAAGGATCAAGGCCTTTTTGTAGCAATACATTGTTCACTCGTTCCAATTGTTGTGCATACGTTTCACCCGTGATTGTTTGTCCAGGTTTAAGCAGCTCAAAATAAACAATGCCTTGGGAATTCCACCAGACAGTAAGCATTACTTTCTTGCCATAGAAGTCGGGTTTTGGTGTTGGTATTGGCTCCTCACCAGGTTCTAGCCATTGCCGTTTTCGTGTAAAATTATCATATTGAATCCATTTTTCATCGTAAATAAGGATTTCATCGCAAAACCCAGTATTTTTTGCCAAACGAAGAAGAATACCCGCCATAGTGACACGAGTAGCTTTATTGGCATTGCTGAGAAGATGAGGAACCCATTTCCCTTGTCGGCTTGTTTTCTCCAATTGATTTAAATGCTTGGAAATTGTTTGAGGGCTTACTCTAAATATTTCTGCAAGTTCACGTGTAGTTTGTCGAGGATCCATTTCTATCGCCTGCTTCAGTACTGCATTATCGATCGCAGGAGGTCGTCGTTGGTGGCCTTCGTCTTCCAAAGATTCATTTCCTTCTCGAAATCGTTGAAACCATCGGCGACACTGGCTTTCCGAAATAGCATCTTCGCCAAATACTTTGCAGAGATCTCGATGGGATTCAACGGCATTTTTGCCCAATTTGAAGTCATACCAAAGACTGGCACGAATAGAGTGTGCTCCTTGTTGACAGACAATTTGTCAGACAAATTTCTATTGACCAACTTTTTTGTCAGACAATTGATCCGACAAACTTCCGACAACGCGTTTTCTAAAAGGTGCGCTTTTTAAGCAAAGCTATAAAGGTCGCGCGAAAAAAATTTGCAAACTTTTCTTAAAATATAGTAATGGATTGTTTTATTTAAGGATTTAGGTTTTTTTAGGGCGTGGAATTTTTTTTTGGAATGGTTCTAGTGCAAATGTAGACAATAGGTCTGGTAAATTCGTAAATAATATAATTTTTTAATAGTGTTTCTTAACTTTTCCCGTTTGAAATGTTTTCTTTAATTTTACAAGGAACACACTCTAGGCACGAAGACGAAACTTCGTCTCGGTCATCTAAACACGGAAATTAAATCAAAAATGAATTAGTTTAACGTCAAAAACACGAAAAGTTGTAATAAAGAAGAAATCTTGAACTGCTTATATGCTTATGGAGAATAGAGTTTGATAAAATTGTATAGCCCTAAGGTACGCTGTTCAAGAGCAGGCGCGCATTCATAACTGGACAACCTAATATATAGTAGATAAGTCGCTCAGTGCACTAGAAGGTCAAATTTCAAATGCGTTTTTACAAAAATCTAGAGCAAAAAAGGCAAAGGCAAAGGCAAAGGCAAAAAGGCAAAAGCTAAAAAACGCCATCGTGTTGCCCATGTTCGACTTGGGTAAGTCATACAGTTTTGATGCGGCTTCGCGGCTTTGGTCCCAGCGAAATCTCACCGTTCCCTAGTTAGCTCTTCTGACGCCATACTTTTTTTAAAAAAAAACAGTATCATTTTATCGTGATTCTCTTTTTTAATCGAATCGTGTCACGGGTTGAGAGTAGATCGTCGGCTTTTTTTCGACCACTACAATCCCTTTTCTGTTTCATATCTACAATCGAGCAAGTACAGAAAAATTATTCATCAAAAAAGTATGATCATTATCCAATAAAAGCTCCTTGTGACAAGTGACACGCAAATTTTTGTTTTTGCTTAATCGACTACAATTGGTTTTTGAATAAATCCTCGCGAATTCTCTCAAAAAGGTTGCTCTTAATAGTCTTTTTTTTCATTAATTTTAATTTTCGTTGAATTTGCGTGTGGGTTCACTTTTGACGCGACAAATTCTAATTTTAGAACCGTTTTTCTGTTAATCTATTTACGGCTTGCTAGGAATTAGACTATAAATAGTAAAGGAATTTGCTCCCAGTCTATATTAGATCATTTATTGTGTTCATGATTGGTAGATTGGTTTATGATTGGTTTATGATTGGTAGATTGGTTTGTGATTGGTTTATGATTGGTTTACGATTGGTAGATTGGTTTAAGTTCGGTTTATGATTGGTTTATGATTGGTGGATTGGTTTAAGCTTGGTTTATGGTTGGTTTAAGATGGGTTTATGATTGGCTTATGATTGGTAGATTGGTTTAAGATCGGTTTATGATTGGTAGATTGGTTTATGATTGGTTTATGATTGGTTTATGATTGGTTTATGATTGGTAGATTGGTTTAAGAATGGTAGATTGGTTTATGATTGGTGGATTGGTTTAAGATCGGTTTAAGATTGATAGATTGGTTTATGATTGGTTTAAGGTTGATTTAAGTTTCGTTTTATGTTTAATGTGTAATTCAAAACTGTCTAATCACTTAATCAATGCATTTTCTTAGAGTCGAGACCTCTTGCAGGAGTCGAACTCAAAGCCCGACAACCGTTCGCCTCAGAAACAAGCGCGCCTCGATCTTGATCTTGATCTAACCACTTGAATCTAATCTAACCCATTCGCGAAAACTACGATAGTTTTGTCTCATTTTAGAAAGAGTTCTTTGAGAGGAACGCATTGTAGACAAGACTTTAGCAATATCGTTAGCAATCCCAGTTAAACCAAGCTCAAACCGGATACCATTACACAACTTTATAAGATTCAAAAAAAGCTCGAATTCTAAGCCGACTACAAGCTAGAATCTCCTCCTTATCACCCACGATTTTTCAATTTCCAAAATTTTTCCCAATTTCCCCTTTTTGCTTCTTCTTTTCCCTCAATTTCACTTATTTCATTCAATTGTCAGTTTTGAATTCATTCCCCATTTCTTCTCGAAAACCTTTTCCAATCCGACTCATCTTTAGTCATTTCTTCAACAATTCAACAATTTTTCTCTTTTCTTATTTTAGAAAAGCAAATTCTTGTCTCGAAAAGGTATCGTCATTTTATTTTTTCATCATTTCATTGCCGATTCTCAAGTTTTCAATGAGGTTTTGATGAAATCAAGTGCATTGAAAAGTTTGGAAATGTCGAAAATATAAAATAATACGATAGGGGGATGAGTGAGCGTGTTTTCTGTGAAATTTGGGTTTTCTAGAATCACTGATCTGACGTCAAATAGATGTTCCTACTTTGTTCCAATATGGCTCCAATACCGTTCCAATACTGTTATAATAGAGAGATGAGTGAGCGTGTTTTCTGTGAAATTTGGATTTCTAGAATCACTGATCTGACTTCAAATAGCTGTTCCTACTTTGTTTCAATATGGCTCCAATGACGTTCCAATGCCGTTCCAATGCCGTTCTAATAGGGAGATGAGTGGGCGCCTTTTTCTGAGCAATTTGGGCTTTCTAGAATCACTGATCTGACTTCAAATAGCTGTTCCTACTTTGTTTCAATATGGCTCCAATGCCGTTCCAATACCGTTATAATAGAGAGATGAGTGAGCGTGTTTTCTGTGAAATTTGGGTTTTCTAGAATCACTGATCTGATTTCAAATAATTGTTGCATCTTTCTGCCATGGGTGATACTAAACTTGTTGCTCTATTTACCAAGTTTTTCTCTTAAGAAAGAGATTCTTTTCAGATTTTTCTTTTCTTTTCCGTTCTAAACGATTTACTGAAAGAAGCGAATGACCAAAAGGCGTCACGTGTCGAAAAGTTTTCTCAGCTCAATAGCTCCTGTTTTCTCTTGTCATTCAGGCTGTTCCCTAGTTCAATTCACCTCAAAAAGTTTTGTTGTTTTCGACAAATCTTTCTTTATTTATTTACTAGGAATTTAATTTACTAGGAATCTTTTTTGAATGCTTTCTAATAACTTTTAATCTTATTTCTCCAACGTTTACCCCAGAGAAGTTTAACCATAAACTTTCACATTCATTTTTATTTCCGTTTTGCTAGTTCAACCTCATTCTTGATATCTTTGGATAAACAAAAAGAATTGTCTTTTTTTCCAAAGACTCCGTCAATTTGTTGACTCATTTATGCCATGATAAATCTATAAAAATTTCTCAAGACTTTCCAAAAGCTTATCAGTTTTATCTTGGTGAAGCGGAGTCATTTTTTGACTAAATGACCCTATATTGTTTGAGTTTTGACTTGAAATTGTAAATTGTTGGAAAGAAGTCATTCTTTACCTACTAAAGAAGCGATTTACCTACGAATTACTCACTTAGATAAGTTTTTAAAGGTATATTAAGTGGTTTTATAGATTTAGAGATTTCTTTTATAGGTTTTATAGGTTTATAAATCTTTTTTATAGGTTTATAAATCTCTTTTCTAGGTTTTATAGATCTCTAAACATTGTTTTTTTGAATTAGAATAGACTAGGGATTCTAGAAGTTGTCAAATAACTTTAGAAATCCCCGTTCAACAGTTCAGTGGAGTTCAGTTAGGGTAACTGATCACTTTTGCAGATCCAAAGCCGCCTGACATCATCAATTTCTTCCTATAAACTATGATGTATTGATCTAGGAAATGTAGAGACTTCTAAGTTCTCTCTCTGTACACAAATCACAGTAGATGACCAGGCGAGTGCGAGAGAAAGCGAAAGATAGAGCAGAGAGGGTGTGTGTGTGTGTGTTCCAAGTTCAGCCAGCCTCCATCTCTCTGTGTCGTCTCTCTGCGGAGCGGTGGGGCGGAGTCATATGACCCTTGCCTCTTCCAGAACTCCTTCCAGTACCCTCCACTCTTTCCAATCCTTTTCATGCCTATCTTTCTCTCAAGGGCGACAAAACTAGTTTCACATTTAGTCATTTTTCTGTTCCGTTCCCGATTTCACTAACTTTCCCCCCGTCTTCCCGTTCTTCGAAATTTCTTTTGACCAGAAAAAATCAGCTTTTCTTTTCTTTTCTTGTCTCTACCAATCCATAGTGACCATTAAAATTTGTAAAAAAAATCGAGAAAAGAAAGAAAAATGTGTGAAAGATGATTGAAATTCGGTTTGATTCGATGCGATTTGATTCGGTTTGATTCGCCCATTCGATTCGATTTATCGTTTCGATTATTCGTTCGATTCGATTTGATTCGATCGTTCGCGATTTGATTCGATTCGTTCGGTCGATGCGATTTGATTCCATCGATCCATCGATCCTTTCCAGTTTAAATACCTTTATCAAATCGTAGTGATGTTTCTTTTTTGTTCTTTTCTTTTTAAAATTGAATTTTCAATTACATTATTCAATTACATATTGCGAAATTCTAAAATAAATTCAAAATAAATCCAAAATCACTGATCATTTCAGATAGCGGGTCTGTCAGCTGCACGCTCGCTGGGTGAGCGCGACGCGGCGAGCAAAACGGGACTCCTAGGTTTGGAAAAAAAAGATTTTCAAACAAAATCCACCATCTACAACCTACCACCATCTAAATCCAAACACAATACCTAACAAATTCTCTTTAGAAAGGCGCATTTTTGCGTGTAATGCGTGAGTGTTTGTGGGAAAGGCGGGAGGATCCCTTGAAAAGAAGAAGAAGACTTCCGAAAAAAGAGCAAGTAGAAAGGAGAAGAAAAAGACGAGATATTGCATCGATCAGCATCAACTCCATCTACAAACACTCAACAACAATCTATTGATCAACAAGCAGAGGTTTGTTACAGGGATTTTGTTGACAAACGGATTCAACGGACTCCAGAAGGTATCTAGGGTGGTCAATAATTACCCGAACTCTTTCTTATAAGTGTAACTCAACACTCAGATCTCCAATCATCTCACGCTTTGTTTTAATAGAAAATTTAGATATTTTTCTACAATAGATTTATAGATTTAACGAAAAAAAAAAGCTTTTTCTATCCATTTTATAGAATCTCAAAAGTTGGCAATGAGAAGTTGCTTGTTTTTGGAGACTTTTACTAGCTTGGCACTTGATTTTCGAGAATTTAACAAAAATTTTCGTTGTCATCAGCGCTAAATTTAGTTTTATTCGGTTACATTTAGTTAAAGGTTAAAGATTTATATTTAATCGAAATTGAAAATGAAAAATTTCGGTTTGCAGAATCATCTTAGGCCCATGTGAAACCAAGATTTCAAAAATAGCAAAATTTTGCCTAATTTAGTGTCACGTTACCTTCCAATTCGTTTAATAATGTTTAAAACGTTCAAAGAAATGCTCAATCTTTGGTGTTCAAGCTGCCAGAAGCTGCCAGAAGCTGCCAAAAGCTGCCAGAAGCTACCAAAAGCTGCCAAAAGCTGCCAAAAGCTGCCAAAAGCTGCCAAAAGCTGCCAAAAACAAGTGCTGCGCCAAGCCAGTGCTGTCAACAAGTGCTGCGTCAAGTATTTTGAGAATTCTAGTTGATATTGCAGTTATTAGCGTTCTATAGCAAGCATCACAATCAATCAGAATCTTAAAACAATCAACCATTTCATTTCCTATTTCTAGCGCGATCGTCAGGTGTTCCCTGTCGACACGCAGCGTGACGGAGCGGCGAGGGGCGGCGAGCCCGGCGAGACTCCCACCCACCAAGTGAATAGGTATATAATAAAAAAGAATAAACCAGATAATAATCCATCTAATATGACGATCAAGTACAAACGAATCTTTTTCCAGGTGGATGTCGTCATCGCTCTCGCAAAGGGAACTCCTGCTCCTCCCGCAAACAGCTCAAACCGGTGTGTTGTTGAACCAAAATAAAGCTACATATTAAGATCTCTTTAACATTGTAAAACTCAAAATTTTACTATAAATTTTGGAATCTTAAAGCTTACTAACAACGAGAACAAAATATTCTCGAGATCATCTCACCTTGCTAAATGTGAAAATTGATAGAATCCTGACTAGGGAACGTGCCCGTGACTAACGCCATCTTATAGAATCGACCACGCTGATTCCGAATCCGTTTTCAGTTTTCCACCTCGAGGCCTGTAAAGCGAGATATCTGAGCTACAAGTTTTAGGCCTTCTTACTTAAGTTCATTTTTCGCAACGGAATAAACTAGCGACGTAGTCAGCAGCTTTGGCGATGCACCACGCCAGTTGGTTACATTGCGAAAAATGAACTCAAGTAAGGAGGTCTCAGACTTGTAACTCAGAGATCTCGCGTTAGAGACCTCGAGGAAAAAAAACTGAAAACGGAAAACGATTCTAAAATATGAAGTTAGCCTCGTTTTAAAATGTCACGAGCATCTGGCGATGTTTCCTAGTGAGGCTATCACTGGAACTAATTTGCTAATCCACAATTTGATAACGCTTTTGTTGTAGGCATGTTGCTAACGATGCTGCAAGGGAACGCTGCTTCAGCTATCGGAGGTGGAGAGATAAACCTAATGGGTGGAATTGTCCCACAACAAGGCATTCCCCCGTCATCCCTCCAATCTCAACCACCCGCACACGTTCTCTCGCAACCAACTGTGCCCGTACCGAGTGAGTATCAATTTAGCGTGAAATGAGTGTGCTTGGGCTGTGCTACTAGATTTGCCTAACGGTTACGAACCGGTGAGGTTGCGGTAAGCGTGCTCACGGTCCAACTATCACGATCTTGGAAACCTGAAACCCGCCTGGCTTTTCGGTAACAGTGACGCTAACCAATACACCACGGGGCCGTGCGAACGTCCCTCATTAAAAGAGCTTTTTCTTTCGACTAACATGGGAAGGCCAACTGGCTGAGCCGGTCAAATGCAATGCGATCATTTGCAGAATTTAATGCTGATTCCGAATCTCTATTCCGTTTTTGCTAAATGGCAATCCTTCAGGAGTTATAAGCATCTAAAGTTTTGTTAGGGCTCTGAAAATGTGGTCATTTGGGTCTTAGCGGCCTCCTAGCGGACCAGTCTTTGCAGCTGTGGCCGAGTGGTACAGCGTTCGTTTCCAAAGCGAGACCTCACAAATTCGATCCCCACTTTGGACAAGGCGCACAAAGAACTTCTAGTCAGCACTTTTTAAAAAAGTATGAAAGAGAAATCCAAAGTGGGGATCGAACTCTGGAAACGAACGCTGTACCACTCGACCACGGCTGCACCGAAACTGGTCGGCTGAAACTGTTCCAGGGAGGCCGCTAAGACCCAAACGACAACATTTTCAGAGTCCTAACAAAACTTTAGACGCCTATAACTGCTCGCAGATTGTCATTTAGCAAAAACGGAATATAGATTCGAAATGAGCATAAAATTCTGCGTTGAATGGTATAGATCGCATAGTATTTCACCGGCTTAGCCAGTTGACCTTCTCTTGTAAGTAGCGTCATGTCCAGTGTACGGTAAGCGAAGGAATTTTTGCCGCCTTTGCTTTGCATGCTAACTAATACCTAATAATTACAAAAATAGAATCAAAAGTAATCAAATTAATCAAATCAAATCATTCGAAAGAGTTCAACTTGAACGTAATTTTACAGGTCCAACTCGAGTGACCTCAACTCATATGCCATCAGCTCTTTGCGAGAAACTCATCCAATTGTGTAACCAGTATCACGTGATCATTTCCGATAATGGTAAAAAAATGTTTCTAAAATGTTTCTAGAATCTTTCTCGGATCTTTCTCGAATTGAGTTTTTCACCTTTAAACTTTCAACAATTTTTTAGGTAATTCAATGGATTGTCGCATGAAAAGACGAAATCTCTGGGTTGAAATCAGCAAGCAGCTCAATTCGGAGGTGAATTAAAAGAAAAAAAAATTTGAAACAGCTACAGTAACCGGTTTACATTTGATTCGCCCAATTTCGGTTTCATTTGATCACAAGGCCCAATCAATGTGACTAAAATTGAGCTGATGAGCTGAATGAATTGAGCTGATGAGCTGAATGAATTGAGCTGAATGAAAACTGGTTACTGTAGCTATGTAAAATAGGTTACTTTAGTTATACTGTTTGCTAATCAATCGATTACGGTAGTCATCTAAAATAGAAAGCCTTATAGAAAGCTTTGAAAGTTTTTGAAAGCTCAGAAACAATTTTAAATAACCAAATATGTCATTTCTCAATGAAAACCCAATGAAAACCCAATGAATTTCTTTAGTTCAACGTCGATTTTACCGCCGATCAATACAAGAAAAAATATCAAAATCTGAAGACGGCGCTGAAGACCAAAATGCAGAAGTCGGTAGAGAAAACGTTGGGTTTCTAAGGAAATCTTTAGATAAAAAGAAAAGATTTAATATTTAAAAGATACTCCATTCATCGAAATTGAAAATTTTCAATTTCTATGAATGGTGAAAAACGGTTTTAGTTTAAGCGGCCAACCCGGCAGCTCATCATCGGGTCGACAAATGTCACCGGATTCGAGAAGAGATTCACAGGTTTGATATTGTAGATGAAATAAATTGTGTTTATTGCGTTTATTACTGAATTTATATTCTATTTATATTCTATTTATATGTCGTAGCCGATTATGAATGAGTGGGTTTCATTCAAAACGTTTCATTCAAAATCGGCAAAACCCCCGTCGCCGATCATGAATGAGTGGGTCTAGGAGCATCCAACCATCAAGTATTTAGTATCATTCAACGCAGAATCATTAATAATTATGTTAAATTTTTTAAATTAGAAAGATTGAATAAAAAGAAAAAAAATTAGAGCAAAAAAACTGTTTGTACAAGAGAAAACTTTGAAGCCCCATAATTTTTTTTCTTTTTATTCAATCTTTCTAATTTAAAAAATTTAACATAATTATTAATGATTCTGCGTTGAATGATACTAAATACTTGATGGTTGGACGCTCCTAGACCCACTCATTCATCATCTGCAACGGGGGTCCCGCCGATTTTGAATGAAACGTCGTAGCGCCGGCAATTTTTAACCTAAACTCACAAATTTGGTACCAATCGACGCAGAATTGAATTCGCTACAAGATGATATAATATTGTCCTCATACATTAAAGGGTTGCTCTACTAGAAAGGTTTGCCAAAAAATTTCATTCATAATCGGCTACGACATATATTCTTATATGTCAACAAAAAAATAATAGTTTACCTGTTGTCTTGCTTTAAAAATTTTTCTTTATCAAAAACAATTTTCCTTATTTTAGTCCTCGTCAACCTCTCAAACGCAACCGGTCACCCCGATCGAAATTAAACAAGAAATGGTTTGTTTATGTAAAAGTGAATCGAAAATAGCAAATATGAGCTATTAAGCCACCTAAGTACTTGAATTTTTTTAAATTAAATCAAATTTTATCAAATTTTTTCATTTTCGAGCGAGCTTACATCCAGCTCACAAAATGAAATAAGCCATAGACCATTCGACGCAGAATTTTACGCTTATTCCGAATATCTGATTCGTTTTGCAAAATGTGTCTGAATTGCGCGCCGGATGGCTCATTTCATTGGGTGAGCTGGGTTTTTTTGATCATCCTTTGTTAGTAGTGTTGAAAAAAGTCAAATTGAAGTCTAGTCTGTAAGGTCACAGATTATGTTGACTATTTTACAAAACCGAAAAATGAAACTTTCAGCCAATCACCTCCCCAAGCAGTCCAGCGCCCCAGCAACAACAGACAATCACCTCATTGGCCGGCTTGATCAACTTTGTAAGTGATTCCAATACCAATTGCAGGCGCGCGCCTATTCCGCTTTCCTCAAATCTGAGCGAATCTGAGATTTGAGCAAAAACTCGAACTCGAACCTCTTTCAGCCTTCGAGTTCACCGGTTCGACCAACCCCTCAAGTTCCGACAACTCCTCTAGCGACTTTATTCGACAAAAACAATTTCCTCGCGTTGGCCATTCATGCAGCACAGGTGAGAGAGCCCTTTCCTCTTGTCATTTTATTTTGAAAGATGCGTTTCCAGATCGCCAATCAACAAAATGTCTCCGGGATCAGCCCGCACATCTCTGCTGAAGTAGTTACTTTGAATAAAAATCTACTATATAAAAGAGCAGTCTCTCTGTCTGTACAAGTCGTCTTTTGACCAATAAAGCTAAAACTTCTTAAGAAAACCTTAGAATATCTTGTAGCTGTGTAATTTCCCAAAAATTTTTGAAAAAAATCAAAACTAGATGAAACATCCGGGAGTCGAACCCGGGCCGTGTCGGTTGTGGCCCCAGCTCGCTCCCGACTGCGCCACGGCGACACGAAAGCTTTCGCCAGAAAAATCCGCCTTTACGCGGGTCTTTCAGCTTTTTGAATCGTTTATCAAAACAATTTAAGCACTTGAGTCTACCCGCCGGAATGAATGTGCACAATTTGCTGGACATCGTCACGCATCAGGTGAAAGATTGAAGCTTTTGCAAGTCTGACTTCGTGCTCTTGTTTCATTCATTCAAACGATCAAATTCAGCCGCAACTTGACCGCCCACCATCAGTCGAAGTGACTTCGGGCGTTTCCTTTGGTCCACTCTCCGTGTTGCGACCAATTTCGACGGGTCTAATCGAAAGAGAAATCAATCAAGAGACTGCTGTGATGAGTGCTGGTGAGTGAATTGCTGTAAAATGCGATAAAATCTTTTGTCCAGAGCATCCCGGCTCAGCAGTTGGATCAGCTTCGGTGTCCGATCATGCGGCTCCACTCAGCTCTCTTCCGCACATTTCTCCTCAACAAGACGAGGATCCCGCACGAATGTTTTGTAAGTTTTAAAGTATCCTGGACTCTTTTTGGTATCAAATTTCTTTCTTTCAATATCTTTGTTTGTTATCTAAGATCTAATATCTTAAATTTAATTATCTACAGTACAGGACAATGAAATATGATATTTGAAAAACGATCGTCACTTTCGCGCGTCTGTAACTCCCTTGTCTTTGAGTTTAAACTATTAGTGTTATACATTTTCTGAAAGCTCTTTTCAAGGGCTACACAATGGTAATATTAATATTTAGAAATACGGTAAAGACAAGGGAGTTACAGACGCGCGAAAGTGCGAAAGTGTTTTTTCAAATATGATATTTCATTGTCCAGTAGTGTAACTTCTTTATTACCATCTCTTTCTACTTTTAAGGCAAGATCTTTCCACAAATCGATTATCTTATTTGTTTATTTTATCCATTTCATTCTTTTTTTTCTCATCCTATTTGTTGTAAGCCGAGATATGCTCAATGAGATATGACACACCCATTTAGCCGTTAGAGATTTCATTTTCACATTTGGAGATGAAAACGATAAGAATCAAGGGGAAATGGACGAACAACTAAATTAGAAAGTTGGGGATTTCAAAGTTAAAGGGATTAGAGAATGGGGGAAAATGAGTGAAGGCAGCTGGATACGTACAAGTTAGTGTTAGTGAAGATAGCTTAGTCTATTTTTAGAATTGATTTGAATCCATCTTTCTCAGATCTATCATATTAATTTCGAATCTGTTAAGCTTTTTGTTTGCCGCATATTATCCTTTCATTTATTTTTTTTCTTTTTATTTCTCAAGTCTTTCAAAATCGATTGCTTAGATGAAGAGAAAGATAGAAAGAAGTAAATGAACACTTCGATCAGTTCAAAAAACGAGAAAGGAAAGAAAGAGAGTGAAGTGAAAGAAGTGAAAGAAGTGAAAGAAGTGAAAGAAGTGAAAGAAGTGAAAGAAGTGAAAGAAGTGAAAGAGAGATCTCAATTCACCCAGCTGTTTGAACGGACCAAGCAAAAAAGCGGGGATTGGGTGGGAAAGGAAAAGAAGGCTCAGGCGGAGTCTTTTGGCCTCTTTTCAATGAAATCTTTCTCATTTTGATCTATTCACTTATTCTCTTTTCCTTATTCTCGTTCCTTTCTTTTTTCTTTTCTCAAATCTCTCCAGGGTCAGTCCCGATGCCAACGCGATTTTCGACCCTCACAGAAAGCAACAAACTAAACAAAAAAACTAGGAAAAATAGTTGAAGAAAAGAAGAGAACCGAGAGATTTTGGAGAATTTTGAATGACATTTTAGAAAGACTGAAAGGCAAAAAGGCTGAGAGAAGCAATAGATAGTTAGAAAAGTTGATGGGTAAAGAAATCTCAAGAAAAAACATTGAGAAAATAGTATAGAAATGTTGAGAACGTTTGGAGACTGAATTTTAGTGAAAAGAAATATAATTGAAAGAGATAAATAACGGTCACTTGAGAAAAAATGAAGAAATTGAGAGAAAAAGAATGACTGAAAGGTGAAAGAGTAAAGGAAAAGAGAAAAATTCGCTAGCTAGTTTTCTTTTGACCGTTCTTTCTCGATTTGAAATACATTTTGGGGACTATCCTAAAATCGAATTGAACTTTCAGATGAAATGAAATTGAATTGAACTTTTTAACAATGGAAACAAGTTGAACAAGGCAAAGCTTTCAAGTAGAACTGTTTAGAAAAAGTTTTTGATTAAAAAAATAGACAAAATTTACTTTCAATTAAGAATCTACCGTAAATGCTGTAATAGTACCCCACCCCCGTCGTACAGTCGTACAGACTCGTACAGTCGTACATACTCATACAGTCTTACAGACTCGTACAGTCGTACAGACTCGTACGGTTGTACAGACTCATACAGTCGTACGACTCGTACAGTCGTCGTACAGACTACACAATCGCAAAAGTTGCTTAGTATTTCATTTTTTTTCAAAGCGCTCGTACTTTCAAAGGATGCGTCTTTGGTATGAAAAAATAGCTGAAATTCAGGGCTATTTTTTGATACCTAAACGCGCATTGTAGCATAAACCAGTGTTGAGAAAAACTCGTTTAAAGCTAGAGCTACGCAATACTCCGTACCGTCATTATGGGGGTGGGGTTACAGTATTTGCGGTAGGTAGTTAAGAAAAGGAAAAGTTGAAACTATTTTAACTATTCGATATTTTGTCATCTTTATTTTCTTAAAATATCTGAGATTTACTAACTTAGGTTTTAAGCCTTGTTCCCCTTAAAGTAACCTTGAAATTTAATTTCTTTAACCCAATCAGCAATAACTAAACTGATTGAGAAACTGTGAACAATGCGATCTGATCCTCAGGAATTTCTCTTTTCTTTTTCAATTCCCGTCATTTGCTTATTGTTTTTATAAACGGGAAAAGAGAAATGAAAATATGCATAGAATGCTACATTGGCTTTTGAATCTAGATCATTTCAACTACTCTTGCATCTAAGGAATTCAAAAACTTTCTTACCAGATGGATCAAGATGCTATTCTTAGATCATTTCAGAGTTCAGCTCAACCTTTTGATAAGTAAGAATGGAAAACTAAAGAGTAACTTTACACAAAGAGTAATCTCCCAATGATTTTCATCTTTTACATTTTTATTTGTAATTTTCTATTCATTGAAAACCAGTTTCACAATCTTTCTCCCGTTCTCGTCATTAAAACCTTTTCTTTTTCATTCTTCTCGCCAACATTTACTGTTTAGAAGAAGACCGATAGATTTTGTTTGAAAGATTTTGTCGAGTTTGAAACGGTCGCACGGGCATTTCCCCCGCAAAATCGCCTCAATGAAAAATTTTAGTCGGGCTTTTTAAATCTAAAGAAAGTTAAGCAGAGTTTTTGAAAACTAGAGAAAGCGATTGTTGAGAAAATTTAGTCTAACAAGTAGGAAAGGATTTCAAAAACTCAACCCTAACTCTAACAAGTAGGAAGGGAATTCAAAAGCTCAACCCTAACTCTTGTCTTTAGATGAATCCTCAAATGAATCCTCAGATGAATCTAAACTCATCAAATTTCCAGGTCTCTCGCTGGCCGATCCATTGAGACGAATTCGAGATCTGAATCCGATGTTGTACGTACAATTGAAGAAGCAAATCAGCACGATCGTTTTGGACGCCGAAATGGACATGGTCAAGGTGTTAATTGTTTAGCTTTCTAGTCACCTCTCATCTTTTCCTCTTTTGCAGCTTTAAAAAGTATCTTCACTTTCAACTCTAGCGTTAGTCCTCATTTCAAGCTTTATCATGTGTTCTTGGTAGGGAAGGTGGAACTCTTATGGTGGAATTTTAAAATGAGACTTATTCTATCTTGTTCACTTTTTCACGAGCTTTCCGAATCCGCTTTTAGTTTTTCCTTTTTTCTAAATAGCTTGCAAACGCAAGTTTTAGCTAGAGTTCTAGCTAAAGCTTAAAGTTTTAGCTATCACTTTGTAAGCCTTCTTCGCTTGTCTGCAAAAGTGCCCCAATGGCCGAGAGGTAGTGCTCTCAGTTAAAAAGTTTTTGCCCCGAGTTCGATTCCCTCATCGACAAATGGCCCATATCTGTTTTTTCAACGGGAAATGGGTTTTTCTTTTATATGGAATTTCCTATCAAACCGCAATCAAGAGAAAAATAAAGAAAATTTTCTATTTTGTTATTTTAGCTAATCTCAATGTTAGTTTTTTGTTAGAAAGTTATAGAAAAAAATTGAAAATTTTGTATAGAGGGTTTTTGATTCTCTTTCTACAAAGGATCTACTTTTTTTAATTAGCAAAATGAGGTTTATATTTACCGACCGTTCTTTCTCGATTTGAAATACATTTTGGGGACTATCCTAAAATCGAATTGAAATTTCAGATGAAATGAAATTGAATTGAACTTTTTAACAATGGAAACAAGTTGAACAAGGCAAAGTTTTCAAATAGAATTGTTTAGAAAAGTTTTTGCTTAACTAATAGACAAAATTTACTTTCAATTAAGAATCTACCGTAAATACTGTAATAGTACCCCACTCACCTCGCAAAAATTTTTTAAGTATTTCATTTTTTTCAAAGCGCCCGTACTTTCAAAGAATGCGTCTTTGGTATCAAAAAATAGCTGAAATTCAGGGCTATTCTTTGATGCCTAAGCGCGCATTGTAGCATAAACCAGTGCCGAGAGAAACTCGTTCAAAGCTAGACTACGCAACACTCCGCATCGTCATTATGGGTGTGGGGGTACTATTACAGTATTTACGGTAAGTTCTAAAAGTGAAAAAAAAGTCAAAATCAGCGAGCAAGTCTTACAAAGTGATAGCTAGAACTTTAAAACCAAATTCCTTGCGTTTGCAAGCCATTTAGGAAAAACTAAAAGCGGATTCGGAAAGCCCGTGAAAAAGTGAACAAGATAGGGTTGGTCTCGTTTTGAAATTTCACCTTAAGTTGGCGACCTTCCCCATTTAGTCACTCAACTGACTCTAATGGTTAAAAGATAAGATTTCGAGTCCTTGATAACTTGCATTTACTCTCTGTTCCATGGCTGGCATTCAAGCTCTCCAATTTTCCAATCCAACTTTTCATTTCAGGGCGCTGATTCGCCGGGTACTCGTACACCGACCGATTCGGATATTCGAATGGAATGATCGTTTTTTCTTCCACTTCTACACAAAAAAGTCATTTCTTTTGGGCAACAGGCAACATTTCCTCCGAAATCTTCTTTTTGTGGCAATCAATCCGTCTCAGTGAGCCCTTCTGTGTGTGTTTGTTTGTTTTTTTTGTTCAGTATTTCATTCGTTGTTCTATTTCATTCATCTAATTCATCTATGTCATTTTACATATATTTAGCTCCTTAATTTTTGAATAGCTTTTCTCGCTAGATTTCTCCCCCGCCGTGCGGATTCACCCCCATTTAGGAAAAGATTTTTTTGTTGGTACGAAAAAAAAAGAAGAAGAAAAAGTGGACGTTCTTGCGGTTGATAGTGATTGAAAACAGGAAGATCTTGAGTAAAAAAAGATATAAAACTAAACAAGTACGATATTTGTATGCTTTAAAAAAGCAATTTGATCAATTTTATCTAGAAATTCATCGATTTTATCTAGAAATTCATCAATTTTATCTAGAAATCCATCGATTTTCTCTAGAAATTCATCAATTTTATCTAGAAATCCATCGATTTTCTCTAGAAATTCATCGATTTTATCTAGAAATCCATCGATTTTCTCTAGAAATTCATCAATTTTCGATTTCCATCAATTTCCTCAATCTTCAACTACAAGAACACCACAAATTCTCCTCCACCAAATTTCCTAGATTATTCAAGAAAATGCATTTCTTATTTAGAGAAAAGCTTGTGATATGCATTTTTTCAAATGTTTCAAATGTTTTTTTAAAATCACAACTTTTTCCATGATTAGTCAAATTTTCAACCTATTTTTGAACTTTTCATAAAAGCTTTTCATTCTTTCTTCTTATTCTTTTTCCTTGTGAAGATCCCCCACCGGTAATTAGTTATTCAATTGTTATTGAGGGGAAATTTTACACATTTAAACGATGAACTATCAAAGAAAAAGTTTAATTTTCCCTTTTCCCTTTTCCAATATTTCCCAGTAGTTAAAAGTCACTGGTTTTCACCAAAACAAATTACGCGTAGTGTCTTTTTTTTTTATTAATCTTCTTTTTTTTCTTCTTAATCTTCTTCTTTTTTTTTTTTACTCGCTTTTCAATTAGAGAATACGGTAGTTTCACGGTGAAATAACTTAAATGTAATAATATTATTTGATATATTCGATTGGGTATCTTTTACATTAATTGTTAGTTTTTAGTTTTCAAAACTTTCAGCTTCTTAGTTCGAGTGTGGTTTTCAACTGATCTTTCTGCTTGCGTACTTTTTGTACGTGCTCACGTACTTTTCTCACGTATAATTTAAAAAGAAGAGAACTTTTGCGGAACCCTGTACCTGTGTTTTTAGATAAAAGGATTTTTAGATCCAAGTTTTCTATGAAAATCTCAAGTTACCGTTGAAAATCACACTTTTCCTAACGATTCCCGCAATTCTGGTCATTTTTTCGCAAATCCGGTAGTTCGCTAGCATTGTCAAATTACGAGAAACAGTTTACCCGGTGAAAAACATTAACAAAATCTTTTCTTTCGTTTCGTCTTCGTCTTCTTTTGCCTATTTCGGGATTTTAGTCGCTAATACTGGTAGCCATGTAGTGATTGGATTTCTCTTTGATTCTTTTGTCAATTTTTGTCTTCAATTGCTTTTTTTTGTTCAATTTTTCTTTTTGTCTGGTGGTAGGGGATCTCCGTGACACTCAGTGGGATAGTTTTCGTTTGTTTTTTTTGATTGTCGATGGGAAATTGAAGGTTTTATAGATTTTATAGATTTGAAAAGCATTAAGATCAAATGAGCAAAAGAAATCTAGCTTCTTAAGCTTTTAAGCAAAAGAAATCTAGCTTTTTAAACTTTTAAGCTAAAGAAATCTAGCTTTTTAAACTTTTAAGCTAAAGAAATCTATAAACTTTCAATTTCACGCGTTTTCAATTCGATTTTCTAGTCGAGTTTTGTGGAAACTGGTAAACTGGCTGAATACTAGAGAAAACTCTGCACCAGAAAGAGCGTGTTTTCCATTTTCGAGCATAAAGTACACAAAAAGCCCAAAAAAATCAGCTAGTTTCCCGTTTTCTCGAAGCTTTATCACAAAAAAATTTCTTGAATTACCAATTTCTCCTTGCTTCACACAAATGTTTCATACTGCAATTTGTCTGTTCAACAGTCATCCCTGTAGGCGTGGTAAATCTTTGTGTTTCACACCAAATATGTTGTGCGCTTAGACACGTTTTTTCTTATGCAAATTTCCCCTGATCGAGTGTTGGTTTGATGGTTTAGTTTGTCGATAAGGCAAAAGTTTGTCAAAGAGTTTGTCTAGCTGTCTAAAGACAACATTTGGACAGACATTTGAACAGAGACATTTCACAAGCTATTTAGAAAGAATCAATTCACCAATTGACCTACAAGTAGCTTCACTAGAAAACCTTACTGTTTTTCTACAAAATAGCATTTTAAATTTTGCGCAAATGTTTTGTCGATGGTTTTTTATGGGCACGCGAAGTCGGCTAGTCAAAAAAAATTTGGGAAGATTTAGAAAGATTAGGCACTTTCCTCCACAGAAACCTATCTTTATGTGAATAGAAAAAAGATAGAGCTGAAAAAGTTAGCTAAGGCTATATAGCTAAAGTTTCAAGAAAATCTGTTCAACCGATTTCTTTGTAGAAGTGTCGTTTTGTCGAAAAACGAGTTTTTGCACTCAATTTCTCCTGGAAATGGATCAAAATTGTCTTAAAAAGATAGAAAAATGAATAAAATTGTAGCCAATTGCAGCTAATTGTAGCCAATTGCAGCCAATTGCAGCCAATTGTAGCCAATTGCAGCCAATTGTAGCCAATAATAAATTGTAGTCAATTCTAGGTCAATTGGTGCTTTTTCATTGATTAGATCTTTTAGAAACGTAGAAAAAAAAGTGTTCAATGTCTGAAAGTCTGATGACTTATCAGTGATCAGACTTGAGCCTAAGCCTAAGCCTGAGCCTGAGCCTGAGCCTGAGCCTGAGCCTAAGCCTAAGCCTAAGCCTAATAAGCCTGAGCCTGAGCCTGAGCCTAAGCCTAAGCCTCGGCACTAATCCAAGTGCTGAAAGTGGAAACATAGCCCATCTAGTGCACGTAACAATGAAGACTTTAGTGCACTAGAAAGGCCGCGTTTACATCTATTTAAGCAACAAAGTGCAATGAAAGCTCCTACAATAGTTGGGCGAACTTTGGAATGAAACTTGAAATGGAATCGGCTTTCAAACAAAACTCAAGCCATCCCTCATCGTGCATATATTTGTATTATTTGTATTATTCGTTTTATTTGTATTTTACACACACAAAAAACAAGACTTTTTCAATTTCAATCAATTTCAATTAATTTCAATCACATTCAATTCCTTTCTCGTATATTCTTTTCATGTTTTGTGGTGGAATTTATCCGGTATACGAGAACACTGCGAATTTTTTATTTTTTCTTCTTTTCCTCTTAAAAAAAGCAAAAAACGTGCCGTCTCTACAAATTTTCTCTTTTTTTTTCTATAAAATTTCTGTAATTTTGAAATAATTTTTGTAACAATACTCTTTTCTCCAAACAAAATTGTGACCGAATGCTTTTTTTTACTTCTTTTGAAATAAATCTAGAATAAAATGAATGAATATATATAAATGAAAGATCACTTTATTCAGGAACTGAGATAATACAAATATCAGGAACTGAGATAAAGTGCGCTAGATTTAAGATTAATACAAACATTCATACACATAAACACCAAGAAGAACCGATAAAAAGCAACACGATATAATTTATGTAATATATGCCTAGCACAAATAGCACAGATAGCACAGCCCCACGTCAAGGATCCACTAGAGCTTCAAGATCAAGATCATCTACAGATAATTTCAAAATTTCGAGACTATTGGACTCTCTCAAAACTCTGGGGAGTTGATTCCAAATTCTGGCAGTTCCTATTGGAAAAGAGTTATACACAAATCTATTGGAAGTGACTTTCTTTTTCTAATTGATTTCTAAAATGAAAGAACCTCCCCTTGAATTAATCGTGGGATTAGTTTGAAAGAATTATAATATAGTTGTGCAATTTAAAATAAAATAACTCAAAAGTCAAAGAGTGGCAGAGTCAAAGAGTCAAAAGTCAATCAAGCACGATGTTGCACCCTGTATATATGTCGTAGCTGTTTACGAAATTCAGCCACTAACGAATGAGGGTATTTCCGGGCATCCAATCAAAAAGTCACCCACAGAAAAAATGTTCATAATACATATATAATACATTCGTTCATAATACGTTCCTCGCCCTCTTTCTCCTAGTTTTGAAAAACAAATGTTTAATGTAGCTTTACTTTAAGAAACTACATCAAATTGGCTACAAAATGAGCTATTAGGCAAGTTTTTTGGCTGAGTAGAAAATTTTTTATAGCCATTTTAGGGCATTTTTGAACCTAAACTTTGGGGGCTCAAAAAAATTTTTCTACTGAACCAAATGAGCTAATTTCAAAAATTTATTATAAAATATATGTATTATGAACATTTTTTCTGTGGGTGACTTTTTGATTGGATGCCCGAAAATACCCTCATTCGTTAGTGGCTGAATTTCGTAAACAGCTACGACATATATACAGGGTGCGCCAAAAGTTCCCGTACTTGTATTTTCTGTATTTTTGGTGATGTTAGATAAAAGATACGATTTTAAAAGCAAGAAATTCGAAAACTGATTTAGAAAACGTTTCTGGTTAATTTAGAAGTGCAACACTATTTAAGACAAGTGATTGAGAAGAGGGTCAAGTCATTTTTTTTTTGCTTTATTCTGTAAACACACGCTTTCTAGTGCACTTGATTCTTGATTTTTCTCTTCTTTAACACAATACAGTACCAGTTGAACGTATTCAAAATGGTGATGAAAGCCTCCACAATGAACCAAAGGGTAGACCCCCGTCAAAAGTGACCAAGGAATATTTGCTTCAAATTATTTGATATACGATCCAACACTAACTGTCTACACGACAATACAAGACGATAGACTAGACATGGGAAAA